CCCCCCTTACTTGGCTTCGATTATTTTCAGGATTTTTAGGAAAGGGACACTTTCATCTCTGGACTCTTTCTGCTTCACTTGAATCCAAAAGTAGAAATACTTGATCTGCTATGATTTTTTTTCTTGATGAAAATATGTCCTTGTCTGCAAAATGGAGAGCCTCAAGCAATCCATCTGGTGGTTTAGGTACTTGATATCTTTTAGCTCCATCAATGTTTCTGTTCTTCAGGGTCTTTTTTGATTTGCCTTTCTGAGTAGGAAAACTTTTCTTTATTGTAATTAATGCCTTTCAGTTTCTTTGTGTTTTGACATTTCTGTTTTCCAATGTCTTAACCATCTTTCCATTTCAAATTTAATACGCAACCACTATCTTCAAGCTCATCTGAAGATGTTCTTTCAGTTTTATGCTACTAATTCTAGATTGTATGATACTTTATTATTAAATATTACTGATCATGATAAAGAAAAAAACAAGTGAATGTTTTATTGTATTATTCACAATGGGTCTTTTGTTGACTGGATATATCATGAAGAAACAAGACTGCAACTGATCTTTTAAAACATTCTTTAATTTTTCTGCTTTCCATATTGTTTCTCTGTTGACTCCAGTATTTTGATATTATTGATGTTGTTGGTATATTGCCAACTGATGCTGCTACCTTTTATCTAAATTATACCAATCTATAGACGTTTTATCAGTGTCTTTTCTTTGCTTGATGATCCCCAGTGGATTAGTGGTAAGTCTGAAGAATTACAATGCTAAAAACCAGGTTTCAATATCCATGGTTGGCACAGCACAGATAGCCAATTGTGTAGCTTTGTGCTCAACAAGAAACAAAAACAAACTTTTGCTTGATGAAACCGTCAATGACTGAATTGATCATTTGGTGTCCAAAAATAATCTATAAAGAGATCAAAGAAAAAAGATACTTTGCCCCAAATCATTTAGATGAAGTGATTAATTGTTGTTGTTTGATAATGAAAAGTAGCAAGTTTGCCATGCCAAAGAAAATGTTTTTCACAATTAGGATTTAATATTGAGGCCAAATGTTTAAAAGGGTAGGGTTTTGGACTCTGCTCCTCAGTTGCACCTTTGAGTTACAAGTATGTTTTACAGATGTATTCTGTTATTAGAATACAATCAGCTATAAGAGTGAAAGAATTATAATTCTTATAATATCATCAGCTGAAGTGGAACTTCTAGCATAAGTTTTGAGTAGAATAAAGTTAGCTTATACTTAAAGTGTCCCAAAATATACTTCTGTGTATTTGGAAAACAGGAATACAATTTGATTATGTTTAGTAAAAGCATAATCATACTTTTATGTAATCTGTACATGGTTAATTTATGCTTAGTGCACACAAAAACATATTTTTTGTATAGCATTAATACAGTTAATTCATGCCTAGCATTATACCAGGATTAGCTTTTATGAAGCTGTGATACAGTTAGATAATATTTAGTGTACCTAAAACATGTGTAGTTACAGCTCACTTGCTTTAGTGTATATCAAAACTTAAAATTTTCTCATGCTTTTTTTATACCAGCATATAGTATTTTACTGCTTGGAAGTAAATGATACTTAGTAGTTAATATTCTTAAACACACCTCTCTCACACCAAGTTATCTTGATCTTTTTTTCTGCCCTCTAAGCATTGCTGAAAAAATGGCACACCAGTCCATATTCCCCACCAATTTCATGCCACTATTGAACACATACATAGTATGTGACTACTCTCCACCAATAGTTTTGTACCACCTGTATTGGTGCAGCTAGCTCCCTCTGCTATTCCCACTCAATTTTTACTTTCTTGATTGGCACAGTATTGTTTAGACGTGTGTTTTTTCTCATGTGGATCCCATTTATGATTGTGCTTCTTTGCCATTTCAAAATGTTTTTTCAACAGATTTATTTTACTGTGTTTGCATTCAGTTGTTTCCACAATTTTTTTTTTGCATTTGTTTCTTGTTAGTAAATTATAAGAGTAGGAATTCGGTGTATCAACTATGGAAATTAACGTTACAGCCGAAAATACTATGGGTATGACTTTCCAGGAATCGGGTTCGACTTTATCTGCAGAGGAGTTACAGGCCTTAATTCGCAGGGAGCTCAATTCATGTGTTCAGCCAGCGATTTCTTCTTCTTTTCAACTTGACAATGTTTTAGAGGAAAAATAAAATCAAGAAGAAGACTATTTAGACTTTATTTTTCAGGCACATTCTTATTTTGTACTTCTACATTTCTTCAGGAGTTTTCCCTTTCCATTTTTTTTACAGCTAGTTAATCAGATCATCAGCCGATGCATATTCTGGTTCTGCTGTATGGTCGGGACAGGGGGGATTTCACTAGTTTTCTTTATCCTGCTCCAGTTGCCATACTGCCACATTGTTCATTTTGGTGGAAGTTTGTTTTTTTCCCCCTTTCTTCATATTACTTCCAGTTGTCCCACTGGTTCTATGACAAGTTTTTCTACTTTTACATTTTACACATGGTAGGCATGGCTTAGGTGCCCTTTATGTGGCTTTGTTCTTCTTTACACGCAGGAAATTTAAGTATTTCATGTCATCAGAGCTCAGACTTAGATATTTATGTGTCCTTTGTCGTCTAAGTTCATTTAGTGGAATTATAAGTTAGATATTGTTTATTGCTTTGTTTTTCTAGGTAATTTTAGTCATTTTGCACATTTGTTAATATTACGTACCATGGAGGATTCCTCCTGAATGTGTTGTTGAATTTCAGTTTATCATACATACTCATGATTTTCTGCTCAGTGAGAAAGGATAAAGCTGGTTTCTCTCCATCCATTTGCCCTGGATGCTTTTCCTCGGTGTACAAATGTTAGTTGGAGCAGGACCAGCCTATGTGGGATCCTCCTTATAATACTGAGTTTGTGATAACCCCACCCTGTTCCTACGGTTGTATGCAGTAAAGGCTTCTCGTCTCATTAATTCCAATTAAAAAGGGTTTTTCCCTGCTCCTGTGATTTAGTTTGGGGGACTTTATCTGCCTTGTAATACCAGCAAGGGGATGTATGTACACTGTTCCTACAGTTGAGCGAATGTTCTATGTCCTCTGCATAATTCTGGTTGCAGGATGTCTCTTCCCTGCATTTACAGTTGGGTGACCTATGATTTCTGTTCATAATACTGGTTCCAGATATTGCCCTGTTCTTACAGTTAAGTTGAGGCAATGCCAAAACCCCATAATGACGGGTTCAGTTTATTGTACTTCTTGTTCCTACAGTTGTTTTGGGAGTTTATATCGTTTTGGCTGACTGCTAACTTCCTCTTTGTAATTCCAGTTGCTTGATATATGACACTGCTTACTTGTGGTTTGGGTTGATGAGTATATGTAACATTGCCAATATGCTCTAGCAATTATGTTTATGTTACACTATATTTGTTTTTATCCTCAATCTTCTAATGCTGAGGACAAATTATGGTACCTTGTCTGTCTGATTGAGGTTGGGTATCTACATACTTCATTCAGTTTATATTTTATTATGGATTGCACTTGGGCAAATTCTTTTTTCTGCCCATATTAGATTCATTTCCTGCTTCAAGGGCGAAGAGCATACCTGTTCCAGGTGTAGTGCAGTACCCCACATGTGTGCTTCGGTTTCATCTTGGAGCACACCCGTTCATTCTGGGTGGTGGTTTTTCTGATTGGTTTCAATGTTGAGCACCTACACCAGCCCCTTCACCTTTGCAATGTGAGATTCTAGCTTTGTGTGAGATGAGGTAAGACTGTATCGGAAGTTCCCACTATCTCAATCTTCTTTCTTCCCTCTAAGCAGAAGTATGTGAGCGGAGGTAAATAGCTATCGGAAATACATTTTCAGTGTAAGAAAATTTTCAATGTAAGAAAATATTAACGTTTAGATAAAATGCTTTACTAAGTTCCCATTTTCTTACACTGAAAATGTTAACATTTAGATAAAATGCTTTACTATAAAAACTAATAATCAAAATAAGTAAAACGTTTTAAAATTGACATTAATAATTATAGCATAGAATTGTAAAGACAAAATTAGCACATACATAATGCTCTTTATTTTGTATATTTCAAGTAACCAAACAGGCGTACAGACCTCCTGCTCTCCGAGGCAAACCTTCAACTTTCAAATTACATGATGATGACGAACCACCATCCAACAAAAAGCAGTCAGATCAAACCATCGGTTAGTTACTGTATTTGTGATAGAATGCAGCTAGTAAATCACATTTAATTTAAAGATCTAAAGACATCCCAAAACTAATTAGGCTAATAAAGAAGTGTTCCATGTACAAGTGGTAAATATGTAGTAATTTTTGGTATCACTTTTGATCTCAAATATGAGTTAATTGATTTATGAACGATATTCTATTTAGTTTTTAATGGTATACTGTCTTAGCTCTAGGATTTATGGGTAACAAAATGTACACAAATGCATAGTAGTAGTTAGGTCCAAGAGATCCTCCCCATATATCTTTCAGTTAAAATATTTAACTGTTAAGGTTGATGCATTAACTTAGCCAAAAGAGGAGTGTTAATATAATGTACTATGTGCAATGTAATCCAGATTGCAGTGTGTAAAAGAAGCAGTACCTTGTTGTATTTTTTGTTAATTAAAGTATTGGAAGTTATTAATGAAAATAAGGAAAATTTACAAAAGTGTGCATGTATGTTAATCATATATTAATATTACACATAAAAATGTATATACAGCTGTGCTAAAGCAAAACAGTTGTTGCATACAAATGCATTTTCACCAAACCTCTTTTTTTTTATCCCTCATAAACGGTCCGAGGGATATGGATATAACAATGACATTATCCATCCATCAACATAATAAGTAATAGCTAATTTATTGTAATTATTCTGTCCTAGAATGTTGCAGTTGATATTTAATAACTTTTAGTATTCCTTTTTATTTAGTTGTTCATTTTTCCATTTAACACAGACTTGAGCATTCTCAGGAAGGTTTTTAACCTTTTCATGTCTTTATTTTTGTTTATATAACAGTTCTTATCAGGATATAGCTGGTAAAATATTTTTGTTTCCTTGAATTTGGTATGATCTCTCTCATGTGGGTTCCTAACACTTTCTTCACTGAATTATGGAACTTTCTAACAACTCAAAGATCTTTACACACCAACTAAAATGATATTTAACATTTATCTTCCTCTTCAAAACAGTTCACCCTTCATTTTGTTTTAAAACTTTTCAAGTTATGTCAATTAAACATAAATTATTCTCCTAACATTGTATGAAAATAAAACGCTTAAAATATACACTTAATTTATACAATTTCTTTTTATCAAACTTCCAAGTGTATTCATAAAGCACTGGAATAATGATAATATCAAACATAACAAAGGCAGTAAAGTGGAAGAGGGGTACTTTTTATTATAAAGCTCAGCTGAGTAAAGTAACAGGCAAATACACATTATCAAATACAGAAATAGGTATGCTTACTTGAAGTGCTTTACTATAAAACTAATATTCAATAAATAGTTTGTAACATAAACTAAATTGCCAAAAGTCTAAGAAAACTTTTTTTAATTAGTGATAATGATTTTTTATTATTTTTGCTTTTGTTTTTAAGTGCCCTTATCAAAGTCTGCTCAAAAAAACAAGAAGAAAAAAGAAGCTAAGAAAGCTAAAAAAGAACAAGAAAAGGTAAGTTTCCAAGTATATGCAACTACTCAGTTATTACAAAGAATATCTTGTCATGTATTGTTTGATTTTTTAAGATCACCCTCGACTATGATTGATTTTCTATTTATGTAATAATGAATCACCTGTTGTTAAAATGTTTCTGGATAACAAAAGGATATTCAAACCATACAAAACTCAAAGGACTTTTATAATGTTCAGGAAAACTTAAAAAAATTGTATGAACTGATAAAACAAATGGCACTTATCATCCATTATTATGAAATGCAAAGAAATATAATTTGGTAGAAACAACCCGAACGACTTGCGTGATGAAGCCATAGAAGATAATTCTTTTGAGAAGGATTGTTTGAATTTAAGCATTCTATTACACCCAGAAAACACCAAATTAAGCATCTTCAGAACATCCTTCAACAAAGTTAAACCTATTTCTGATTCATCTATCACTAGAATAATGTTCAACCATCTGATTACAACATGAAATTGAAAAATGTACAGGGTGTATACAGTTGGGGAATTTATTTTTTAAAGTTCTGTATACACCCTGATGTGAAGGGACATGAAGTTAACGCAAAACTTACCATATTGTTACTGCTTACATAGGTTATATTGGCATACGGATGCAAAAGAAGTGATATTCCACCAGATTCTCAATATGTTACAGACAGTAATGTAAAGAATGAACTGAAGTTTTACAAGACAGTTTCTCCACACCTCACAAAGATCTGTCTATAAATACCAAGTAAAGCATTAGGAAAACACCACATTAAAGTGATTCAAAACAGAACTGGAAACATGATTATACAAATTTTGATATAGAGGACATTATTATAATAAGCACATGGCTGTTGTATTTTGTAGTGTCTGTACCCTAATTTCGTTTTGCTTTTTATTAATGCATTTTCCAGGGTTCACACAGGCCATGATACTTGTGAAATATTGCAAACAAATTTTTCAGTACGTGAAATCCTGAAAAATCAATGATTTTTATCATAAGGTACTGAAAAAGTCCTTGAAAGTCTATCCACACCACTTCCACATTCCATGTATTTAAAGCTATATCATTCTATTTAGCTCAGTTTAGCAAATGCTTTTTGTGAGAAAAGAAACATTTCTTTTTTATTTAAAATTTTCAGTGTCGTGTATATTATAGAAATGGGAAAGAAATTGAGTTAGTAATACTGATCAGTAACAAGCTCTGAACTATGTACCACCATCTGCAAACAGAGTGTTACTTAACTATTGTTAGTGTAAAATAAGCTCAAGTCTTGATGACAGAAATCTAAAATATTAAAATTATTGATAGGATCAATAACATGGATATTTCATAATTTTCCTAACTCAGTCTGCAGGATAGACTTCAGAAATGTGTTTTAACGATGTTTCTGGCTTATTTTCTTCCTCAGTTATTGCCTAAAAGTTGTTAATAAAAAGAGAAAGAAAACATTCAATTTCAAACAGCAAAAATATAATAGAATGAGCATCATAAGCCTAACTGCTATGCATAATAAAGATAGACCATTAGCTTATACTTGATTAGGTCAATTGTTATTTATATAGATCTATCTGTGCCAGGATAATTTGAATGAAATTTTGGGACCCATTTCAAAATATTTCAGAGACAATCAGGACTGCAAGTACAGTATTGTAGTGTATGTTATTAATATTATTTTGTTTCACTATATTCATATAACTTTTGTCTTTCAGATCTAATATGAATAAAAATTTTAAAATCTTGTTCATTATTTTACCTTTTCTGACTGATAAAATGATAGCATCCTTGACAACAAATAAAATTATTGTTTTAAATATAATTTAAACATGTGTATATGTTGTCATATAAGATAACTTACAGGATGAACATCACATTGCAACCAGAAGGTTTTTATTGACCCACAAAGTTTCCATTTATTTGAAAAGTTCTTTTTAGGTGGAATTTCAGCAGTAAACTTAGAAGACACTTCAAAATAATAAAATGTAATTGTGTGAGAAAAACCAGGAAATATACAACATTGTTAATATGTGAAACAGTATGAGAGTGAATCTCTGTTTTGTTGGCATGGCAACATGTCATGATGTATGTTCAACAGCCAATGATGTACAAGTTTACTTGTTGACCTATTGGTATGTAAAAATAATATGTTCATTGTTCAATGACTATTACTGGGTTTTGGTTAAATACAGGAGGAGATCATGGTGTTAGAAAAACACGTAGGTTCAAGAAGTCTTGATAGAAATGAATAAAAAAACCTATAACCCGAGCACTTTCGAAAGGTGGACCTTTCTTCTTCAGGGGCAAACCAGAGGAGTTTTTAGCTCTGGCCAAAGCACAGTATTTGGAAGAAAGATGGGAGGATTTATCACATGTTATTAACCTATTCACTGCAGTTGGTACATATATGGCATCTAAATGTTTATTCTGTTCACTGCATCAACTCATCAGAGTCAGTGCTATCTAGTAAATCCATAAAATAGTCTGGATTTTCTCTAGCTTTGGCTGAGTTTGGCCTATCTGACATCTTGAGGGAAACTGAAACGTACAAGGTGGAAATAATTTACTTAATGTATGGCAACATATGGTGGAATGTCAACGGATATCCTTACCACAAAAAGTTATGATCCAACGCCTCACACAGGAATTTTAAAAGCAAGAATCCATATGTGCACCAGCCACAGTGAATGGGTTAAAATGAAGTTGGAAAATGTTGAAGTGTACTTTTACTTAGTGGACTGTGAATGTTAAAGAATTTGTAAGTGCTTTGTTCAGTAATATGCAGTCATTTAGAATTTATTTTAGTTGCTTGTTTCATAGTCTTTTTTTTTGTTTTGTTTTTAACTTGAATAATTGTTTGTCAAAGTATGCCAGGGAAGTGCAAATTCAATCCAGTGTGGCTGGATATCTACACTTTAGCTAATTGTCCACTAGAACACTTGTAATAAACCTACTGTGTTCAATGCAAAATATGCACACACACACAAAGAAAGTGGGAAAAAATTAACATTTTATTTTTTTTATTTGCATCACACTATACGTGTTATTGCTAAGGCTTATTTTATAGCTGTTACTGCATTTTTTTAATAAAATGTAATAAAACATTAGTTATTTAAACTTGGTAGATTTTACGTTTTGTTGAAATTGGTAAATGTTGTACTGGATTTTTTTCCTTTAGTCAATGCAAAGCATGATTTTCTAAACAGCAGAAATTTGAGTTTCTTACTTTATTGTGTCTGATTTTATTATTAGAATTAATGATTCATCTTGTTATGTTCTTTGAAAGCTGCTATGCATGTTTAACTTGTTACTTTAAAAGGTGGAAGAAAGAGATGAAAATCAACCTGGTAATGAAACTTCACCAGTTTATACAGAAGCAGATGGGACTGAAACTACTGGAGATCCTGAGAAAGATAAAAAAATTAGAAATATTAAAAAGGTAAACTTGCTAGTGCTAAAAAAACAAATTCCAGTTAATAACATTAACACTGCATTCTAATCATTAGAAGTAATAGAGTTTAAATATTATATTTAATTAGCAATGCTTATTACTAGGTATATAATTTTAATTGTGATGTATGGCTTCAAGATTATGTTTTTAGCAGTTGTTTTGTTCCCGAGATAATTAACAAAACTTCTGATTTCTTTTTAAAATTTTGAGCTGTATATAAAGAATTAAATCTTACTGTAATTTCAAGAATAAAAGTCATTACAAGATTTAGCAAAATCTGTTGTGGGGTTTTTTGATAAATATTATGTCTGTTGATCATACAACGTCGAAAACTTAAGTGATGCAAGGTTTCTACTCTTCTAGATAATTTAATTTTGTATGTGTGCAGGTGTATTGTTTACTCTTAATATCAGTTTTATATTATTGTCTAAGAAAAATGCTGAATGCTAATGGGACTAACCATTTATTCTTACTGTGATAAGTGTCATAGTGCCAATCAACTGATATTAAAGTTTCTTGAGTAACAGAGTTTTAATGTTTATCTCAAGTGAAAACTTTTCTCACATTATAGCTCAAACATATATTTGCTCCAGTTTACCAAAATGCTCTTTTTCAATATATTAAAGGATCCAAAAGTGTTAGCCATGTCAACATATACATTTTATTTCTGCACTCAAATGCCTAAAAACAACATTTCTGGTTTATAAAATGATTGCAAAAAAAGCTATAAATTACATAATAAATAAATATTATTTTATTTGCCTTTCTTTATTGTGTACAAAATGTATGAAAAACACTTTCTAAGGTAATGTATTTGTTTCTTTATTAGAAACTTGATCAGATCTCTAAACTGAAAGCAAAGGAACAAGAAGGGAAAACTCTAGAGCTGAACCAGGTAACAGATTAAGCTCATGTTTTATTTTATATTTAGTTACAAATATATTCTGGTTAACATTTTGCATAATACTTTGCAGATTTGAGTTTTCCCATACTTAGTTCACATTCACTACATGTGTATGGCTTTAGCAAATTCATTTTATGAGACGAAAATCATTTCTTTTTTATTTGAAAGTTTCAGTGGCATATGTATTGCATAGAGAGTTTTAATGTTTACTAATGTATGTATACTGCTTAAAATATCAGAAGTCTTAAGGTTAAGAAAGTGTCATGTTTTTCATAAAAAGATAAAATTTGGCATTTAACACACTTCAAATTGTGTGTGTGTCTTGCCCTATTATTTTTTCTGGAAAGAAACCCAAATGTTCTAGATATTCTCTGTTTGAACACATATTTTGATTCTTTTTCACAAAATTTTCCTTAAAGGTTATTTGAAGTAAATAGATTTTTGTTAGGTGAATTGTGAAATTGTCTATGTTCAGTGTAATATCTTTTTTTTATTATTATTTAAAGAATATTTTTTATTCACTATGTATAGTCATATGGCTTATCTATTATAGTATGAGAAAATTAATTATTTACTGAAGTGGGGAATGATGTGTTTAATAATTGAAATTGTTTTTGATTCAAATATCATTTTGTTGCTCCTAAAATGTAATATGTAGTTTAAATTGTTTGGTGTTTTACACTCACAAAAAAGAAACCTATCATTCTATAGGTATTTGAAGAACTTGTAGCATTCCGCCACAATTT